TTTTTTTTTTTATGATGATCTGCGATATACTTTTTAATTGTGGCTGAAATTTTTTCGATTTTGTTAAGAATAAGAAAAGTTTTTAAGAATTCCTTTTTTTTGGGGGGAATCCTTACCTTGCATAATAATAATAATAATAAATTATACTGTATGTATTAAAATGCAATACGGTGGAATCTCTCCGAAAAAAAAATAAATATTTTTCTTTTATAATTTAAAACATATAAAATATATAATATATAATTTTCATAAAATTTTACACATGCAAGTTCGTGTTCATATTTATCTCTTTTAATTCCCCTTTTAGGCGATTTAAAAGATGCAGTAGAAAATGAATCAACTCGTTTATGTTTCATTCATAACGCAATGAAGAAGTAAAAAAAAAAATAAATAAATGAAAAAAGAAAATATTATATCATTATAAGGATAAATAAGTTAATTATCAATGTGATAGTTTAAAATCCAGAAATTTTTAAAATTCGGCCCGAATTAGAATGATTGACATCACGTGTTAAAATTGTTCGTCATGTTTAGTAAACTGAGTTAGACTACTCAGCCACCAATTAATCTACAAAAAATTACTTCTCAAAGAAAGAAAGAAAAAAAAAAAAATAAGAGAAAATTTACCAACTTCTTTTATGTATAATAAATGATAATTAATCACGCGTCATTTATTCTTATTTTATGAAATATTTCATTTTATAATTATATAACATTAAATTAATTTGTGATAAAATTGTGACAAATTTCTTGTGATAAAATCACACGAGATAAAATTACACGAGATAACAAAAAAAAAAAAGAAAAAGAAAAAAAAGAAAAAAGAAAAAAAGAAACGCGAAAAAAAAAACCCGTTTTCGGGTTAAGTTAGGTTACACGGTTTCAAATAAGTTGTATAGATAAAGAATTTTCATAAAATTTCTTTTTTATTTCCATTGTTAAAAATACACAATAAAAATATACAATAACGTGTGAAAAGATTCAATGCTTGTGGTCGGTCGAGATGAACCGAAATCGTTATCCGATTGATTCAATCAGCAATAAACATAAAATCATTTTATTATAAATATTATAAATATTTGAAATATTTGCAAGTTTAAACATTTTAATTTGTATTTTTTTAGGTAGTTTCATAACACAGACTCTATTGAGGCTAGAAATCGGCTTTGATGTTTTGTAACCAAACAACAAACAATCCTTTAAATGTGATCTTTTTCATGCATTTGAAGGAAAATATTCTATTTTCTATTTTTATTGAAATTTTTTTATTTTTTTTTTTTATAATATTTAAATCCGGAAAAATCTAAATAAATCTTTATAAGGAAATTCATAGAAAAAATGATCAATTGTAACCACCAACCACCGTTTGTCCACTCATAACTGTTTCAATTGACTAGATAATTATAATATATATCTATTATATCAATTATATCTATTATATTATAATATAATATAATATAATATGTATATATATACTACTATCATTATGTATATTATAATACGTATATTATAATATATTTTTAATATATATTTGATATAATTAATCAAAGTTCTTTTTATATAATTCCCCCTTATCGATATATTTATTACAAAGAAAAATATTTTTTTTGGTTTTTTGGCTTCAGTTTCCTACAGTATTTTTTATATATATATATATGCAATATGCATTTATACATTTTTACCATATAAAATCTTCTGTGTATCAAATTTTTTAAAATTAATTAAGGTCTGGAACGTTAAAAAAATTTTTTATTTAAAGTAAACTTTCCTTTATCTATATTAATGTTCCGTATTACGTCAAAATAATCGGTAAAAGTAAGATCCAATCTCAAACAACAATACAATTCCAAATAATATTAACTTCTTATCTATTATAACGTCTTGATGACCCAATTTTTGTTTGAAAGACAAATGGACAATAAGGAAAAAAAAAAAAAAAAA